ACTCTATAAAATAGCTAGATAGGATTTAGCTTTCACGTCTCTCCGTGCCTGGAAGGAAAAATACCTGTCAAAACAAAGAAATAGGCATATTAGTAAAACGTTAAGTCGCATTAAACCAAGAAAGGGAGGATCAATTTCAAGTGAATACACTAACTCTACAAAGCTAATGGTTTGCGTACACACTACCCTCTCCAAATCCCACTAATGAAATTTTAATGGGTCATTGTTGTTGTACACTAACTCTACAAAACATGTAACGGACAACAGTGAGCCCAAAAAGGAGAGGCGAAAAAAGGAAAGGAAATGGTGGCAGGAACAAAACACACCAAAGTTTGATTTTAATAAATACACCAAAACGACTTTCCACTAATAGACGATAAACTAACACCAACTCTACCTGGATGGCCTAGACAGTTTATCAGAAAGCATTAATCAAAGACAAAGCCAATAAAGAATATATGCATCCTTATAATGTTTTTATTTTATAACTGTGGTATCTGGGCCAGCTTGCGCGCACCTCGACTAATTCCACGGGAAGAAATCACTTAGTGTTTCTGTGTCTCTGCTAGAATTTGAATCTGAGACCTCAGATTCCCAACCCACTTCATTATACACTAGGCCACACCATTGGGTGCATGCATCCTTATAATGTTAATCATCAATATAGCATAATCGTAGTTAGGCTTAAACAGCATGAGAGTCCATTATGAAAATGGCAGTTAAATGTGGCAAATGCAACTTTTATGTTAAATTCTGCTCAAGTATCATTTCAAATTCTGAAATATTTCAGGAAAACTTGGTAGGAGAAATATCTAACCTATGCATCGCAATCTCAATCTACATATGTCTGACTACTCATCAATGGTAGTTGTTAAGCCTAACTGTGTATATATCCTGCTTTGCCAAACTGCACTTAAGAGCATGCAATTCAGTGGGACTGAGTCGTTCATAAATTTTGGGTAGTCCTTAATTTTTCACCAGGAAGAATTTTGGATTCTGTCTAGAATTTTGAGACAACAGAAAATAGTCATGCCC